TATATTAAAATTTTCTAATAATTTTTTGAGTCATTTATTAAGTAAAAAACAGGTTGATTTTATCCACACCTCCCTCACCATGACTTCTTATAAACACTTTCCTTACTGCCACTTTTACATCTGCTGCCACCTACACCTCCTTATGTACAGCTAGGCGGCTCCCACATCTAAGTTTCTATTTTTTGTGCTGAGAAACACCAAAACTGCTAAAGCTATATTCTTTTATATGAACGTTTAAGTTACCTACAACAACCCATCACAATTTCTCGAAATTATTTATAAAACTCTGAAAACAAAAGTCTTCATTTGTATTTATTCTGACTGAAATACATTAAATTGTCGCTAAGAGGAAAATGAATTCGCAGTTTGACTGAACGAAATTTTCATATTTATTTTATTTGTATTCACATTTTGTCTACAAGTGTATTTAATCTTCGTAAGCTCTGAGCTGTCTTTGAGCTTTCTTTGTTTTTAGTTAAGGCTTCAAATTGGCCAGGCGTTTATATAAATTGTGTGCAGATTAAATGTAAAATTGTCTTGTGTCGAGTGCTGCGTCCCCATCTGTAGACCCCTGCCCAAGCTGACGCTCATCGTGCGGCTTATCCCCATTCGCATCCACATCCACAGCTCCATCGGTTGACACATTTGGCTGCTGACACATCCGCTGAAGCAGAAAGTTGGCAGCTACGTTGATCGCCTCTAAAGGCTAATTAGTGTTAGATTTGGTCTTTGATTAGTTGTAAAGAGTCATCAAAAAGCCGCACACCGAATCTAATATGCTCTCGCCTAGTGCATGTTACTGTCTAAGCAGCTGTATCCGATCTTTATCGGCGGATATGCTTGAAAGTCTGTCGGCAAAGTTATTAAGGCCCTGAGAGCGTCTAAATTAAACAAGTATATGAAAAAAACACACATACATACACACACACATTTTCACTTTCTTTTGTTTTGACTCGCTTTGTGAAAATTGCAATTTTTATTGCACTTGGGTCGCTTGAATGAACGCCCGCATGAAATAGAAAGTTAAGTGTAAGAAAACACATACGAGCACAGATATATTATGCATATATGTGCTCACTTATATAGGGCTTAAGTTCTAAAAACTGAAAGTTAAGCTCAACTTTAACCCGTCAGCAGCACCCCAAAGTTTATGGCAAGAATTTAGAACAAATTATTTACTTTCTCCGTATGAAAAAATGAAAAACTTCACACACATTAAAATACAACAACAAAAAATGCATGTGAATGCCTAAGTTGTTGTTGTTTGTACTGTTGCTGTTGTTGTTGTAGCTGTCGTGGTGTCTGCTGTTTATTAAAACGCAATTCTGGTTTGTTTTTAATGTAGCCACAATGAAATTGTTTTTATGGCTCTTTACCGCTGCTGCTGCCGCTGCTGCTGCTTATTTGCCATACCCTGTATATATTGTAAATGCTTAGGGTGTAATGGTGATAATAAATGTAATATGCGGTCTAAATATTAGTGAAATATATAGTCTTTATCTATGTAAGCCGCTGCATCTATAAGGCTAAAGAGCCCCAGTTTACATGTCGAATAATCGATAAATTGCCTTCAATTCATTAATATTGATTAAAAATATTTTATATGTGAATTGTAGATGTAGCTCCTCTTAAAACACATCTCCACATAAAACATGTCTTAAATGGATATTTTTGTTAAGTACACTTAGTATCAGAACTTACTTTTGATATACCAAAGCTTAAGCTTTAATTTCCGATAAAGTTTAGTTCGATCCATGGAGCATCTGCTTCGCTTTAGGTAATAAATTAAAGAAACTGAAGCTCTTACATATATTTTTCTAGCTCTTAAACACAGCTAGAGCTGCTTTGCATTTAGTTTATGGTATCTTCTATTCGAGCACTTACCACTAAAACACTTTAAGCTGATTTATTTTATTTTTTTTTCATGTTTTATTTTGTTTTGGTCTCGACCGCGAAATGGCACACAAAAACAGTGAAAGATCTTGTGGCTCTTGAAAGAAAAGTGCAAGGCGTGTCACAGCCAGATGCCGGATTAAGCTTTGTGGTTGGCGGTTGCTTGGCTAGCGACGCGGCCAATAGACGATGTAATGTGTGCAGTGATGCTGCTTGGCCTTGCCGTTGGCAACCACACAGCGACGCCAACCGCGACACTAAGCGCCCATTCAGACAATTGTGCACTGAAAGCAGCCCCAGAACTGGCCAAGATTTATGTATAAGTAAATGTGAGTGTTGCGCCACGGATGCGGATGTGTGTAGCCAGGCAGCTGCACCCGCACAAAGCGAAGACCATACCAATTTAGACTCCTCGGCCCTAGTGCAAGCAACGTCATTGACAGCTTGACGGATTCGACTGGTCTGCATTATCCATGAGCTGGGTTGAGCAAGAAATGCGGCGCATAAATCGTTGTGAAGAGCGAGCTTATTAGATGTCAGGCATGAAATTTGTGCATAATAGATGTAATGCTTATGCCGAGCTGTCAAAGTGAGCAGAACGAACGGACAGACAAGCTGGTCACAATTGATGGACTATGAGATGCCCTGTAAATAGGTAGACAATTTTTTTCTAGAGGTTTTTATGCACAGATGTGCGTTATATGAGTATAAGATACTCTGTAATATTTTTAAAACATACTACTTTCACTATGAGATACCCTTTAAAAGGGTCTAAGATCGTTCAAACGCCAAATGCTGTAGTCGTATCTATATATAACTATATTTCATATTATCTTTGCCTTACAGAAGAGTTTTTTTTGAAAATAAGATACCCTGTAAAATATCAGAAATACCCAGTTGGCAGCTGGAACTGTTAATCAATGTATATTTGTTGTTGTATTTGAGCTGTTCGATACTAAAAATGCGACATACCCAGGCGATAGCTCTAAGACATGGCCTGATACAGCAATGTGTTCATAAAAATAGTAGTGCTGCACTACACAAAACTTAAGGCAAATGACTCTCTAATATTAAGCAGAATACATATTAGTGTATATAGTACAATAAAGTATATGAAGAAGGCAACCTCTGTTTTTATACAATGTCTACAAATTTGACCTTTCACCTTTGCACCTTTCATCGACAGAGGTATACCCTAGCTGGATTTTAGAAAAAGTTCAGGGAATACAAAATCCACAAAAACAAATGAGAACTGTCTACGCTGCTTAAAGGTTTTTTGTCATTTTTTTTGTATGGAAATGCTTATTTCTTTCAATGGCAGTCTGAGCATTTGATGGTCTACCTAACTCTCTCCCTGCCGCTGTTATGCAGCCGGTCTGGAGCGGTCAGTGAACCTATTTAAGGACAGCAATATGTGTACTTAAAATGCGCTCCATTCACCACTGCTCATCAGCATTTTAAAGCACTCGTAATGCTATCAAACAAACCAAATATAATAACATCCAGCGATCCATGCAAACCGAAGGCCTTGCCCTATCCCTGGCCGCTGGTCGGTTGTTTGGTGGGCATTAGTGAAAGTAAAGTGGAAATTGCGGCAGCCAAAATCAAAAATTAGTGGCCCAGAAAGCGACAGCAAAAACAACGTTCGGCATTTGGCAAGAGGGAAATCTTGGACTCGTATATATCCGATCTGCAGTGCCTTCTGTGGGTAGCAAGTAGCCGGCTACACGACAGTCATTAGTCTGTGGGACCTGTACAGCTGCCGCTGTGGGGCCTAAATTTGCGACTTTATTAGTTGAAAATGAGCAGAGCCGAGCTCCAGGGCAGGAATGAGGTGTGCATGGGAGGGAGGTTGGCCAGTCAGGCTGAGTGGCATGCGAGCAAATCCCTTTGTGGTCGCAGCACCTGCCACATAAAGTGCCCAATATTGCAGCTGACTGGGCGAAAGCACTGGACAAGAATACCAGAAAAAGAAACATACATACACACACTTACATATGTAGTATTTCCGCTGGTCTTTTTGGGGAAAATATTTTTTGCTAACGTTGGCTCAAAGCCACAATTATGCGGCAGCTTTCCTTTTGCCTGGCTGCCTGGCTGCCTGCCTGTGCGACTTCATGTGGCACGTTCTATGCGAAACTCAACGGATGCTGGCTCATGCATAAAATACAGACAACAGAGGCAGGGCCAACAATTTGTCTTTTGTGGCAACAGCAACGGCAACATCAGCAGCATCATCAGCAGCAGCAGCAGCAACGGCTGCAAGTCAATGGCCTGGCCTGGCTTTAATAGATGCATATCATGGTAGCTGGAAGCCCTCGATTGCATTGGCTATCAGCTAGATATGGACTACATATATGCTGGGTGTTGATCGGACGCTAAATAGAGTTGCTCTGGTTGTTGTTGTTGTTGCCGCCGCCGCCTTCTGTGAAATTTGCATAATAAAATTGAGCTGCAAATTGCAAGCGTTTAGTGGTTAATAAATACTTTCTTTATGGCAATAGAAATGCGAGGCGAAAATTGGCAAATGCCAAATTGAAATTAAGGTGTCGACAAGAGCAGCAACAGCAGCAGCAGCAACAGCGACAATGTTGACCAAAACGGCAGCCAGTTTAAAATGGTCAAAAGCCAAACACCTACCCAGGCAACAAATTCAACTGATATATTTGGCCATAAACAACGAAAGCGGCAGGCAAAAAGAAAAACAAGACGTCCAAAGCTGTTGTAGTTGCTGCTGCTGCTGGCGGCGCAATGATCATTAGAGGCAGCAACTACCCAACAGCAACATCAACAACCGACACGAAGTCTCGACTCCGACTCCAACTCCAACTCGAACTTGAACAACTGCAGCACGAAGAAAATCCAATTGTGATTAACTCAAGCTCGAGCCGAGCTCGAGGTCTATAAAAGAATAAGCGCGCCAAGTCTGGCCATCAGTTTGATTTAAACTAGCAGCCAGTGCAAGACGCGCTCCAAGACAAAGCCAGCGACATCATACAGCCAGCCAGGATTAGTCCAGACGCGTGTGTGTGTGCGTGTGTGTGTTAAGACGCGTGTGTCTAGTGCTACAGTGAGTGTGCGTGAGCGTGTGTGTGGCGAAGCACAACATGACATTCAGGCAAAAGCATTTAATGCTCCTGCTGGGCCTGTGCTTGGCCAGCAGCAGCAGCTGTGATGCGGCCACCGAGCAGCTAAGCAATCTGCCAGCCAGCAGCAATCAGAATGCGGGCGCACGCACTTTGCTTCGGGTCTATGATGAGTGCAATCGAGCCGAGAGCGGCTTTGTGCCATGCCTGAAGAAGAAGGCCATTTCATTTATTGATCGCATTGCGCCCATCGATGCCATTAATGTGGCCGATGGCATTAAGCTGGTGCGTCTAGAGACAGCGCCACGGCCACCCGCCTACAGCGACAACGAACTGGAGTCCTCGCTGGCGCGTTCCGGCAGCGAACGGGACGTGAAGCTGACGAACATGTTGCTCGAACGCTTGAGCTACTTCTTCAACGGGCACTCGCTGCAGGTCAGCTTCCCCAAATTGACTTCCGATGAGATTGGACGCGGACTCGAGGAAGGTAAGCATGCCCCATTACACGTGCCACACACACAAACACTCACTCACACGCAACTGGACTGTAATTGCAGTTATGTTAACCGCTCGATGCATTTAGCCATTGCGCGTGACAGTGACATAATTTTGCCAGAGCTCCGCTCATAATTGGCGGTTATTAGAGCCAGGCGCTGTTAGCTACACATATCACCACATAAATGTATATATAGATATATAGATAAGGTTTAATTGAATAGCTGACAATGACATTGGCAGCCAGGAAGTGGGTTAACAACGGCCTCGCGCTTGCATTGTATGCTAAGAGCGAAGCGTGGCGCAGCGTGGAAAATTCTTGACTTTGGGAAGATGTGCAATTGTTTTTAAGCCTACACACACACACGCAACTCGGTACAGGCACGAAACTCGTTCGAAAGACTTACATTGACCTATAAACCTGAACCACAAACAAACAACGATGACAAAAAATTGTCATGCCCGAAGTTCGTGTTAGCCCGCACTGAAACGTTAATGCCCTTTGAAGCACTAAAAACAGAATTTACGTATTTCACTTGTAGAGAGTTTTTTGGGTAAAACTTAAATTCGTAACTGTAAGCTGAAAGGGAAATAAAAAGTCTAGACTAAAGCGCAGCCAAATAGAAAGTTGTCTTAAAATACATTTAACTAAATGTGAATTGTTATTGTTATAAGACTTCTGTATATGTTATATATATTAGACCAAATGAGAAAATAGTACTGTCTGTCAAAGAGGCATTTTGAGGAATATGTATATAAATAAATAAATATGTATATATATATATATATATATATATATATATATATATATATATATATATATATATGAGTAAGCATACACAGAGATATTTTTAAGAGCTAATAAATTACTTAATTTTGCTATATAAGAAAGAAAATAAGAAAATAAATGAGATAATTGAGAGATGAGCATAGGCAGAAGAACACGCATTTTTTTGGCTCAAAGCGGTAAGTTTAAGAGTCAATTTTCTCACATCTGATTATCATTATTTGATTATTTAAAAATATATTAATGCTTGCAAATCCGTTTTTTTAATTTCTCACACCAAACAGTAAAGTTAATAAAATATTGATTATAAAATTAAATTATGCAAAGTAAAATCTCAGCTGAATGATTTATTAGTTTGTTTTATATTTCTGATTACATTAACAATATTTATATACTACAATCTTGATAGATATATAGTGATATTTTAATAGACAATTTCATATTTAACATAAAAATATCATCAATCAAACATTAATTTCATAAAGAAAAATATAATTTTTACAGAATTTTCATAGAAAAAGAAACTTTAATTATAGAAATCTTTACACTGATTTACCAAAAAATAGCCCGTTTTTTTTTTTATTTTATACATATATATATATTTATATATTTATAATTTTATATATTTATATATTTATATATTTATATATTTATATATTTATATATTTATATATTTATATATTTATATATTTATAATTTTATATATATATATATATAAAATATATTTAACTTAAAAATCTTAGCAATAACATCACTGATTAAAACCTATTAAAAGTTTCTCAATGTGTTTTGATTGGCGCTCTTTTAAATTGTTTAACCACAATATAAAATACTTAAAAAACTTAGTAATAATTTTCATATGAATTTTCACTCAACAAAGAAAAGCTTATCAACAATATCAAGGCAGACATTAGTCATGGCTTTTAATGGACTCATAAACAAGCAAAGAGCTGCCGAAAGTAAAGACTCTTTAGGGTTAAACATTTAAATGTGGCCTGTTTGCATGCGCACGAAGACAAGACACGCAGTTGGTGTGGCGGGCTTTGGGATGTCATGACCATGTCGAATGCGAAGCCCAATGAAAGTGTTGGCCACGTTTCACTTGGCCCGCTTGTTGTGGTGTTTGAGGCCACGGTAACCGACTACTTGTGGGCTGGCAGGCGAGCGCTTTGCATCAATTACAAATTTGACAGAAGCACTTAAAGCATTGACAGCGACGGCCAGACGGCGAGACAGCAAATATTTTCCAGTAATGAAAAGCGAACTTACTTTCACGATGCACGGATGATATTTTTCCTTTTTTACTTTCATATTATTGATCAAGATCAAGATATTCAGCTGCTCAACTTGGCCAACACTTTCCCAATTGCCACACCATTTGTGGTTAATTGCAATCGCATCTTGTTATTGACTTGAATTTTGGTTGCATTTGCACAGATCGCTCCCCTATTGATTTTCACTCGAACAAGTGAAATCGCCAAAAATGTCCCTGATGAGGCAAGGGGGGCCAACAGCTGCAGCAAAACGAAAGCCACACAAGCTGAAAAAAATATATATATTTATATAAATTTGTATTCTCAGCCTTGGCTGCTTGGGAACTTTCACCAAAAGAAAAGCTAGGAAAGCTCCCTTGACATTAAGACCAAGCATCAAGCTGAACAAACGCATTGTTTACAGCTGCAGGAATTATGTGGAAAGCGTGTGAGAATTCAAATTAAAAGTGAATTTCAGTAATACTTAACATATATGCCTACAATTATGGCTTCAAATCACCGCATTTACTAAATGTTTCTTGTCTCTCCCTATGTTGCAGGCCGCGGCAAGATGAAGAAAATGGGCATGATGATGGCCATGATGATGGCCACTAAACTGATGGGCATGCTGCCGATTGCTATGGGCGCCCTTTATATACTGGCGGGCAAGGCTTTGATTATATCGAAGATTGCCTTGCTCCTGGCTGGCATCATTGGGCTGAAGAAGTTGATGGCAGGCAAATCGTCGGGCGGCAGTTCCGGCTGGTCCTCGGGTGGTGGTGGCGGCGGCGGCGGTGGCGGCTGGTCCTCGGGCGGCGGTGGCGGTGGCGGCGGCGGCGGCTGGGACAGACGTTCCTTGACCGAGGCGCAGGAGATGGCATATCGTGCGCACAGCAGGCAGCAGGCGACCCAACAGCAGACGGCAAATCAGCAGCACCAGCAGCAGCAACCCCAGGGAGCGTCTCTGCAGCCAGCGCTGGTCAAGTCATAGGCGACACACACACAGACAGACATAGAAAGAAACACATTCACACACTCACACAAAGTTCATAGCTCCCTAGCTGCATTTATCTTGTAGATAAATCTGAGGAGCAGACAAACTGAGACGAGACAGGGCTGGCAAATTGTAATTAGATTTTTATCAACTGCTTTCTTCTTCTCACTTTTTTGCACTTACTTCAACTAAAGCAACGGTCAAATGCGCAGTTGCACCTGCGGATACATGGCTGCAAATGTATCTGTAACGTGAAGCTAACTTAATCATTAGCATTTGCATAAGACTCAAATCGATTTGCGTAATACGCACTCAGTTCCGCTTCCATTCTATGCCCGTTTACAGCTACTCAACTGCAACTCTGTCTGAACTTTATCTCTGCATCTCTCGACCCCTCTTAGCTATCTAACTATGAATCTAACTGCACTCACAGTTCCTGTTATTTTTCAATTATTCATTCATTCACTTACTTCATTCACTTCACTCATTCTGCTCGGCTTCTGCTCTCGTTTCCAGCTCATTTTTTCACGCGCGCATTTTTCGATTAACTTTAAGCGTAATTCGTTTAACTGTAGTCTAGTGTAATAATTTATTAACATTATTTATTCTTAACTCTAGACGTGTCTCGCATGTAAGCAGCAAAGTTTTTCAAGAAACACAAAAGTAACAAAAAAAGAAAGAAAATAACGAATACAAGCACAAGCACAAATACAAATACAATTACAAATTACAATTATACATATAAATATTTATATAAATAAAACATTTACGTGTAGAAAAGCTGTTGGGACTCAATTTATTAAAGTGCCTAGGCATTATCTGCCAGAAGGTCACATTAAAGTTCAGCGAGGGCCTCACGTTCACGTGCTCTCCTGTATGCTGATGTAGCTGCACGCAAAGGACACGTATACACTTCCTGGCATCCTGTTGCCATATGCCAAGCTGCTCAGTGTCCTTGACAACCTTTGTGCTGAACGCCTGTGTGTGTATCCATATGTTGTCTGCCCGCCCACGCAAGCAGCGCCCACACAAGCGGCTACCCATGTCGTGTGGCAAGCCGCCCGCCCCCGTCAGGCATTGTCCATGCCGAGATCATCTAGATTTTTTCACGTACCGCTGCGCCAGCTGATGCCAGGACAAAAGTTTATTACTCCAGCAGGGAATTCCAGAGGATGAATGCAAGCAATGCGAAAACAAATTACCAGAATCTTTTTCCTATAAATATTATCTTTCCAGCGACTGCGGTTAATTATGAAGTGACTTAACGGAAATATGCTTAACGCCTGTCCGATTAGAAAGGCGACAAAAGCCACTAATTAATTTATGGAAAAATCCCCAAAAGAATTCATTCAAGTTCAATGTCAAACCCGCTGCTCGACAAATAGATTTCATGTTTCCAAAACAAGAAGCAAAACAAAAAAAACCCAAAACGTTTTTGTGCATCGCTTATTAGAAGTTGAGCTGTAACCTTTACATAATAATAAAAGGCATACATTAAGTTTGATTAATGGACACAAGCACAAGAAGACGAGTTAAATTCTTCAACTGATAATCTATTCTGGTTTTACCTTATACTGGTTTCCCACTCCAAGTCGCTGCCCACTGACGTGCGTGTCCCAAAAGAAAGACTATTTTATTACATTATGCAAATTTTAATGTTGATTCTGGTGGGCGTGTCTGATTAACAAATATTAAGTAGCCGGCCAGCGTATTACATAATTAAATATTCATTTTGTGTAGCAGATTTAAATTTTTTAAAGTATTTGAGAACAGAAACTTGGTCTTTGAGATAGGAGATCGAAGTGGAGTCTAATTGCTGCACAAAACTCATTTGGATGTTCTTTTATTTATATATAAGCACTTTTTAAACTATTTAAAAAATTTATATAAAATAATAGTTCCGGGATTAAACCGGTTTGCCTGCAAGCCTTGAACTAAAGTGAGTGTCAGAACATTCCAGATCGTATGATAGCACAGAGAGTTCACACAGTTCTCATCAGCTTCTACCGATTCGTTTGTAAATCCCCTTTAATTTCAGCCGACTTCTTCGATCACATTAATTGGCCACTGATACCTGATCCTTCCTCATTAATTTATCTTGTTTTTTTAGCGTTTCATTTTAGAAATCAAAGACGTCGGCAAATATACTTTTTTTGTTGGTTTTTATTTTTACGGTCTTTTTACTCTAAAGTCGGGTGTTTACTTCTTCTTCCACCAGCCGGAGGAGACGCCATGGCCGCCATAGCCGCCACCATAGCCGCCGCCATAGCCGCCGCCGTAGCCGCCACCATAACCGCCACCGCCATAGCCGCCGCTGGAGCTTGTAATGACTTTGTAGACCTGAACCTGACCGCCATGGCCGCCATAACCGCCGCCGTAGCCGCCGCCATAACCGCCACCATAGCCGCCGGAGTAGCCACCGCCGCTATAGCCGCCATAACCGCCGCCATAGCCGCCGCCATAGCCGCCGCCATAGCCGCCGCCGCCATAACCGCCGTGTCCACTTTCGATCACTTTAATGACCTGGACGCCACCACCGTAGCCGCCTCCATAGCCGCCGGAGTAGCCACCGCCGTAGCCACCACCGCCATAGCCACCACCGCCGTAGCCGCCACCGCCGTAGCCACCGCCGCCATAGCCGCCGCCACCATAGCCGCCCTTTCCGAGGAGACCAAGGAATCCAGCCTGAGCTGTTGCCAATGTGGCGACCACCACGAGGAGACACACAAACAGCTGAGCGAAAGAGAGATTGATTTAGTGTGTGTGTTCATAATGTGTGAAAGGAGCTGAGTCCTTGAATCCTGGCAGCTGGCTAACTCACTTTCATAGCGCACCGAACTCTGTCAAAGCAGGCGAAAAACTAATTCAAATTAAGCAAAACGCTTTCAATTTATGAGCAGACGCTTCCCAACTGTCTGAGAGCGAAACCGATTAAGCCTGGCCAAGAACAACAACAAAAAAAATAACAAGGCAAGCCAACACAAATTAGCCAGCTAAGCAGAGACAGCTATACACATGTGTAAGAGCTGGCCTCTAGAAAGGTCTGTAGCTGGTTATAGATGCTGCCTCCGCCTCAGAAAGTATATTTATAATTTGCATTAGTGACCGCTTAGGAAGTGTGGATCCTAAACTAGTTCTGCTCGCATAAATTAGCATCTTATTTGGTAAAAATAATACGAAAAACAAAAACAAATCAGATTCGGTTCAACAACAATCGAATGCATACATTGTACACTGCTCTCAATCCCATCAATGCGATTGGCAAACCAATAAAATAAAACTAATATTCACTCGTTTATGCTGTTATCGTTGTTGTTGTTGCTGTTATATACATCTACACATATTAAAATGAATTAATTTATTGCTTTAGTGAACGCTAGTCAAATAGTCAAATTGTTGTTCAACCAGCCAATTGTATAAGCTCCACGCCAGGTGGGCAGTTCGGGAGGTGTGACCAGTTTATAGCACTTTAAAGCACACGCACGCACACACACACGGCCACACACTGACACACATTTGGGGAGATTGTGGCTATAAAATTTAAATAAACACATTAAAGTCTTAAATGTATCCAGTGGGCATCTTGCATGATTGCATCTAGCCATACCTCAGGCCTTGACAATGAAATATTATGAGGAAGGTTAATGCTGATAGCTGCATGACTTAACGCAAGCTGCTCTTGACTTCAATAAGACACACAATCAGTTGACTGTAGTTGTTGAGCGAAGCGCTTAATTTCATCGGACTCCATTAATTAACAATCTAATCATCTAATTAGGAAAAAATTAATTGCAGTCTTAAGTTTTAAGGAAGGCAAAACTTAAGCTGAAAACTTTGGAGGCGGTCGCCGACGATACTCGTCTGCGGGCCAACAAATCTGGTGAAATATTTTCGGATTTCGAAGACCTAATGGGTGAATTTTAACACTTTCTGGAATACTAGATTATAAGTTCCACATTTCAAGAGGCAAGTGCAGTGAAATGCTTTGCATTTTCACAGTCGAATGAAGTTGCCTAAACTAATATACTCTTCTAAATGCATTAACTGATAATAAACCCGTTAGTTATGTATATATTTATTTTAATTATTCAAAAATTCCCCCTTTTAAATGCAGACGTGGAAGCATAAACACTTCCATGGCAGCCATTAGATAAGCTTGTCGGATAATCCTGCAGCAAATCGTGTTGCTATATATATTATATAATATTTGTTTTATACTTTTTGAAAGCTCGAGGTCATTTATTCGTTGATAAATTGGTAATTAAAAATAACAACGCTAAACATGTAGAAATTAGTTGGCAGAGCGATCTCAACTACTTCTATCAACTTCGCTGACTGCGCTACTGCTTAATCAATTATCTTACAATATATATATTATATATATACATATGCTTATATATATGTACACTCATATGAAGAATATAAAGGCTCATAACATTACTTAATCTCGAACCTTTCAAAATTTGTTTTTTTGTTAGATTATAAAACGTGTTCTTCATGAATCAATGTTAATTTCTAGTGATAAAATGTTAGCCATTATTAGTTGTCAGACTGGCATATATAATATATAAAGTTACAATATATATTGTAACTATACACTACAACTCTGACAGCCAAACTACAAGACGAACAGCTGTTCGTCGTAATAAATCCATAAGCAATCCATAGCCTAGTCCACATCATGTCACACATCTGCAATTTATGGCATCCATAAGGCCTTATCATATATTAGAAGTAGTTGTAGGAATTGGCTTTTAGCTCACATTCTCCGATTGCTGCTATGAATACTCGATTGAGCAAGCTCTCAAAGATATGTATCTCTGCTCAAAAAGGCCATCGCTTAGATACAAAATAAAGTTCAGCAATCACAACTTTCGCATGATGAAGCACGTAACCAATTTAAGCAGCAGCAGCTGCTGCAGGTCGAAATAGCGTCACTTAGAGCTGAGCCGACTGGCGATGGAGCTGAGTGAAACCAAATCCTGTGTCAAACAAAACCCAAGCAGTGGCACGAAACCAATTACAAGCGACATTTGGGCCACCTCAAAAGTATGCAACAGGCAAATAGAGCAGCAGCTGCAAATAAGCTTAAAAGCAGGCTACACTTTGTGCAGCATGCAACAGTTCCAAGCGAGGCGCCTAAAAGCACACGCTATGGCATACAGCATGGGCAGACATTTAGGCGCAGCTGGGCCCTGAAAAGGCGCTTGTTGCATGCACTTGTCATGCCTCAGCTGCTTGCAACTTAATGCGGCACTCAGCGACAGCGACAGTCTGTCACTCAGACAGGCGCCAATTAACAGGCCAACAGACAGGCAGGCAATTGTGTTGCAAGTTCAGAGCTGGCAATTAGCACTGCACGTTACCGCAAAGTACTTCATCTGCGTGATGGCATTGGATACACTTTCCCAGCTGAACTCGGGCTGGCACTTGGATTTATATAGAATCATAATATCAGGCGCAAACGGCAGTTGGCATCGCGAGGTCTTGCAACACGCAACCTGGCAGCAAAAGTGAAAACTAAATCATTGTGCCACAATTGAAAGCTGACTTTAATCCCTGTACACCACAGATAGTTGTAAATATATATATTTTAATTAAGTTATTAATGCTTCACTGGATACTTGTGTGTGTGAGTTTGACAATTGAAAACTTTTGCAATTTTGAATATCGAATACATTTGCTGACCACATAATTAGAAGTGTGGCAGGTGTGTGTGTGTGGCAGGCCACGCTTGGCAGCCACGCTTAGTGGCATAGTAAAAGTCAACTAAGTTGCATTTACAGCCAAGCTGAGGCCCAGTATTTAGTGCCGACCACTTTCGGCGAAAGGCCATTAAAATCGCTCAACTAAAACAGTCGTAAAAATTTCGAGAGTTTCAAAGAATTGAACTACATCTTGGCACTCAGTTCGATTCTAAGCAGCGTGCGGTGTGGTTCGTGCTCTCGACACCAATAACTATGTGGCAGCAGCAAATTTTTGTGTTAACCATTTATGTGGCCCTGGCCCAGACCGAGGCCGGCATGGATGCTCGCTTTAATGGCGTCGCTTCCGGCTTACCGAACAATGAGCCGCAGCAGCTACAAGTGAAGCTCAACGCCTGGCAGCCATTGACGGGCCAGAACAATTGGCTGATACTGCAGGCAACGGCGGCGACAGCCATGCAGCAGCAACAACAGCAAGGGCAGCAGCAGCAACAAGGGCAACTTCCTGTCAATTACTACGCCTACAATCATCGCTATCAAACGGTTGCGTCAGCTGCCGCAAACGATGCTCCCAGCGGAAATTACAAACAGGTGCGATCCAATCTCAATGCGGCTCCCAGCTACGTGTGGGCCCTGAGCCCCGCTCTGCCACAATTGTCGAGCACCCGGGATGTGCCGGAAGTGAAGAGGGCGCATATCGAGCCGGAAGTGCGCGAAGCCGACAACCGCGCGACATTCACAAACGCCGCTGATGAGGCTCTTGATGTTCTGGCTAAGCCCACAGCAACGGCTCAGAGTATAAACAACTATTTGACAACATTTGAACGAGCTGTGCGTAAGGTGCGCGACTTGTGTGACACTGTGCGAGATCTCATCAGCGTGGAGGATGAGGACGAACAGGAGCTAGCGGAGGGCCAGGAGCTGGAGCAGGAACTCAGGTCGTTGGAGACAAGTAAGCTTGATTTTTAATAATATAGAAAGTTTGCTCGCCCAGCAAGTACAGGGAGGAGTATATTGGATTGTGTTTGACTTGCTGTGTGCGTATATAAGAAATCTGGATAAATGATACTTGAGCTGGGTGAGACGGTGGATATGAAGTGTTGGACAAATATCTTGAACTCGAATTTTATTTAGAATTAAACCAATTTGAGAATGGATTTCTTGGAAAATTCTTTTAAAAACTCTATAAAAATGTGGTGAAACTATTATTTAAAGTTTGAGCAAGTGCAAAGCAGTGCTATATACCCGACTACAACATTATCTAGATTTTTCTGTATATTTTATATTTTTGTTGCTGATGAACGGTGTCCATGGCTTTGTTCGCGCACTTGTCCGCTCAAAGGTCTAGTCACTTAATTAACTAAAAGACTGAGATGCTTCTACTTGCAGATATCATGCCAACTAAATTGGCTGGGAGTAGCGTAGAAGCAGCAACGGGAAAAGAACTAGGAGCAGCCACAATAACATCAAAGGAAATCCAAGGACGCAGCAGCCAGCTGGCTGGCAGCGTTCAGGGCCGCAAGCTGAAAAAATTGAAGAAGAAAATTCAGAAACTGCTGCTGCCACTGCTCATTGCGTACAAATTAAAGTTTCTGACCCTGATACCAGTGCTGATTGGAGGGCTGACGCTGCTAGTGGGCACCACGGGTTTGGCTGGCTTCTTCTTTGCTCTGTTCACGGCCGTGATGAGCCTCAAGTCGTCAACAGGTGTTGGCCATTCCAGCAAAGCGATTGTCTTGAAGAAAATTTGAGGCCGACGGCGATTGATTTCAGATTTAGGTTTACGCTTCAAAACTAGAGGGAGCCTTTCTATCACTAGCGGCGCTTGATTAAATTGATTCAATTGATAAAACGCCGAGCACCGAATGTCGAACGTCGAATTAAGTAATTTATTAGTAGAGCTTTTCATGTGAAAATTTGATTAGGTATACGAAGTTTGTATACACTCACCTAAGCTCTAACTTAATTTTTATTACGTATTTATTTTAAAGTTTTACGATTTTCATCTAAAAACGAAGCATAATGAAACCTCATTTAACATCTGGTTAGGGTATTCGCAGACCTAGCAGACCTAACTTTGCTAGTTGTTTAAGTAATTTATTATTTATTTTAATTTTAATACAAGTCACAAACTCTTTGTGAACTCTTTGCAGCCAACAAATATCCCTCATTATTATAATTAATGTTGCATTTACTTGATTTAAAATATATTTAATTTTAGCTAACAGAAAATGTAATCTTATCTTTAAGCTTATCTATATTTTGCTTAAAACTTAAGTTTATATGTTTCACAAGCTTTTCAATCGTCAAAAACTTGTATTTGCTATTTAAGAAAACAATAAATTGATTTAAGTAAAGAAAATTTTTATTATTATTAGTGTTTAATATACCTAAGATTTAAATGAATTGTCTTAATATTTATTTTTTATTTCAGTGATCATTGTTTTTTTTTAAATTTTATTTTATGTTTTATAAATTATATTTTATTTATTTTTAGTTTTTCTTTTATTCATTTTTGCTTAAATATTTTATTTTAGTTTCATTTACATTAAAATAATTTCTACATTTTTAGTATTTAAATTTATTTATTTATTTTATATTTTTTTGTAATTTAGTTTATTATTTATTAATTCATTTAAATAGTATTTTATTTCTAGTATTTAATTTAGTTTTAAACCATGCTTTTCATTTTTATTTCTTTATCTAATAATCTCATTGTTTTTTCAGCTTTCCATTAGATTATAGATTCGATTATATAATTAATAAAATTGAATTGTCCGCTGTCAGTCAAGTTAATCATACTCAACTTTGTTAGGGTGCTTCTGACAACAACAACGGTTACTACCAACCGGATGCCAGAAATCGCATTAACACTCAAGTGACGTTAAACGCCCGGCGCATTGCCAAAGTCTGGTCATGATATGTGACGACAGCGAAGCGTTTGGAGTTTGGCATTTGGCATTAGTTGGAGCACAGTTTAGTATGCGTGTTGCGGACCTGAAAACAACCGTTACCAGGCACCAACCACCACCTCCCACCCACCCAGACACACACACATTTTCTAGCATTTCGACAGTTAAAGTTAAAGTTGAACAACACTTAGTTCCGTTTGCGGACAAAATTTAGTCAACAAACTTTATTTTATTTGTAAACTTAAATTTTTATGAAAATCACATTTTAGATTAATTAAGCCAATTAAAATGTATCCCATTCATAGGAATATTTCTCATATAAGCACAGTTTTTTACCTGCTAATTGGACGAAACAATTTTTGCCTGACATTTCGTTTTAATTACGCTTTTTCCATTGTACCTGTGATGCGCGCACCGAATGTTACTAAATAATTAATTTATGGAAGTCAACAGCATTTGACAACTGAAAATCAAGTTAGTTTTGTTTTTGCAATTTATGTTTATTACACATTTAATTATATTATGTATTTAAATTGTATTTAACGTTTATAAAACATGTTTATTCGGACTTCGCAAATTTAATACGCGGCGACCTTTGGCTGGAAGATGTGCGGCCAAGAAAAGGCGCACGGGGCGTGGCTGTAGGTGGCATTTCACTGCGATTTAGAAATGGAAAAATGCTGTTCGTGTGTTGTTCAGCTAAAATGGCAAGTGAACCGCAACCAGCCAGCGCTAATAAAGAGTTTTTACTTGTTGATGTCTGTGCCACAGCTAGAGCACAGTCAACAGCCAACAACAATAACAGCATTAACTATGAAACCGTTTATTAAAGTAGGGAAAACTTAATGTGTGTTCGTTCACGCTTAAGTAAAACCGAATCGAAAACCAGAACAACAGAAAGCAAAAGAAAATAACTTAACAAGAAAACACCGCTACACAATGAAGCTTGAATACTCTTAGAAGAGAAAGAGCTTAAAGAAAATAATAAGATTTGAAGTTGTAAAAAACAGAAAAACATTCGATAATATTACAAACTTCTATGAACTATTTTTTCTGTTAAGTTCTTATTTAGTCACTTAAACTTACATATAGATATCAACTCGACTGTTTACAGTGCTCTAAAGCACATACATTCCAGCGCCAATCAACCTTCATGACTTAGCCAATATACCCAGCCCAACTGTGTTCATAAGAGAACAAAATACAGTAGCAGCAACCATCCAGCTATTAGCCACTTGGCCAGAACAGCAGCCCCTGCGAGTGCATTCGAGTGCAACGAGCTGCACTATGCGGGCGCACTAGCCTTTAACTTAGTTAGTTGGCCAGCTTAGTTGCCTGAGCAGAGTGTTGCTGTATAGAACTAAGTGCGGAATGTCTAAAATTTTACTCTTCATATCCTGCCTGCTGGCTGTGAGCTGGGCGCATGGCCTGCCGCCAGCGGTGCAGCTGGGTGGTGCCATTGTCGCAGCCGTCGAACAGGATGCTGAGGAGGAAGAGAAGGCAGCAGCCACAATCTCGGAGCAGCGTTGGCTGCAACTAGCAGAACAGCAGCTGGATCTAGTGCTCGGCGGCGAGCTCAGTGGACAGCAGTTGACTCAGTTGCTGGGCAACTGGTCGGCCGAAGGTAGGCAGCTGCAGGTGCAGCTACAACGTCTGCACTTTCCCTCATAATTAATGTTTTCGCTTCGCTTAGCTCGCGGCAAACATCACAAACACAAGAAGCTGCTCAAGATGCTTTTCCCCCTGCTGAGCGCTGCGGTGCTGGCCAAGTTTATATTGTTGCCCTTGATCTTGAAATGGCTAACGGCGCTCTCGGCCTCATCATTTGTCATGGGCAAAATAGCGCTGGCTGCCGCCGGTCTGCTGGCCTTGAAGTCCATGATGAGCCCAACTCACGAACGTCTGGAAATTGTGCACGCCTCGGCGCCAACGATCAAGAGCTACCACGGAGATCTGTCCTCAAGTGGCAGCAACTGGATACCACTTAGGCAGCACTATATACCGCTGGGCGTGGCCAAGGATGCGACGTATCGTTACGATAATAAGCCCTTCCTATAGAGCCAAGATCTGTATAAGTATATTAGTGTTAGTGTTAGACTTAGCCAATAGGCCAATGGTAATAAAGCCACATAACTCGTCAGCTTCACCTGCCTTCCATTCACAGTTAATTAGCACGCGTCCAAATGGTGTTACGTAGACCCCAAGTCTGACCGAATAATACGGCAATGCGTCAATGCGTGCACAGAGCCGTTATGCATAAAACGAAAAAACGGTTTATTGCGCATGCGCGACGGCCAAGACGACTTGGCCAAGACGAACTTCCGCAAATGCGTGTTGCAATACAAGTGGTAAAAAAGGGCTTATGTAAAAGCCCAAGCAAAGTCAATAAACAGGTCGTCAGAAATCAATCAGCATGCAGCAGCTGCAGTCAACCACTTGGGTGGCGACGCGCGCGAGGGTCGTCACAAGAGTTTTCACTCACTCGGCTAATTACTTTACGTAAGCACTGTCAGAAAGAAGAACTGAAAGTTATCCAACAGTCGAGTGAGAATGCCGCCACGAGTCATGGACTGTGGCTATGGCTATGCTTGGGTCTTGCGACATACAAGTGAAAGTTGTAGGGCGCACAGTTTATGGTAAAAACAAACACACACACACACACACACACGCACTAAGCCAAGCACAATTGCAGGCAGTTTAACGCCAACAGCAAAGTCGCATGCTGCTCGCGTATCTAACAAATCGATCAACAAGGCGTCGCCTCTGTGTTGGGCGCCTCTTTTTTTTCTAGCTTAAAAAACAGGTAAAAGTGCGGCAGAAGTGCTCAGCGATGAATGTGAGATACCCTGTAAAAAATTACTGATTTTTGGCACTCAGAAAAATAAAATAAATCTATTATTCATTGCTAATATGTTCTATTACTAATCGATATTTATCGAATTTTATTTGCAAATTAACTTCGTAAATTTTTTGCGTGCTGAAGATATATAATGTGGCATTTGTGTCATAGCGATATTTATCAATATTGTTTTCTTTTCCTGTATTTCTTTTGTTCTCTTTATATAATAGACGTTTTTAAAAGTTCCACAGCTTAAAATCTAAATTTAAATAAATATACCTAATATCAATGAAACCAGTTTTATTGAATAGAACATTTTATGGCATTAATGCTTAAATATGTTTTTGATGATGTCCATTATAAGTGCCGTAAAATTAACTAAATGCATGATAATCTTGATGAGAGAAAGAATAAAAAATTTCAACAATTTGCAAGCGTTAGAAATTTCTTGTTCTATCCGTAATGAAATTTAATAAAAAGCTATTGAAAGTATTGTCAAACCAAGCAGAGTTACCAACGTAAAGCTAGAGGTCTCTAAAAGAAACCTGTTTTATATATATATATAATAAAAGGTTCTGACAGAATTTTTTATTTCAAATAAAGCTGTATTACCAAAGTTGTGAATTTCTAATATATCAAATTTATCTAATTAGATGATTATTGGTTTATTTAGCACATTATATACATATTTTGTATTAATAATTCAAACTTTAAGTTAAATTCTTGTATGTGTTAGTTTGAATGATTTCAGACAACGAAGAACATACATAAATATATCTATAAATATGAGTTGCAGACAGAAGGCTACATATTGCCTGTACGAATCGAAACACCCTCGCTAAAAGACATCATAATAGCTAAGCTGCAGGCGGGTGTAGTCATCGTTGTGAATTTTATCGCCTCTGTCGCATCTCGGTCTGTTGGGCTGACAATATTCTCGGCGCAGTCGGCGCTGGACGCTTCGATGAGTGCGCAATGTTTGCGACTCTCACGGGATTACTTAACCAGACCATTTAGCATAGATACAGCAACAGCAGCAAAGGCAACAGCAACAGCTTCAACTTCAATTTGAAGTATTTGTTGTTTGAGCATTTGTGTCATCAATTTCACTTTCTTTTGGACTTGGGCAAATGGGTTAAGGCAAACAACGCGCAGCCATTGTCCGGGCCCTTGGCCCAGCCCTGTGAAAGCGCATGCACTCCCACAGGCGCACTTCCACAAATGGTTTGGGGAAATGTTCCCAGAGTTTCAGGCCAATTGCTAGGCCAACATCTAACCGCAAAGTGAATTGAATTCGTCTGCCAAGCCATGAATTTTTCAACAGCCAAGAGCAGGCCCAAACCCTAAAATAAAAGGTCTGCCATGCAAGAAGATAACGCTGCACTTTCTCAGATGACGACAACGTCTACGCACAATATTGACAATTCATATTTGCGCAAATGAAAAGAAAATCAATTTCACCTCTCGGTATTTACGCGTTTAACCCAAAAACGTAGCAAAACACAGTTTTTTTATTTCTTTTTTTCTACTCGCGACTTTTAGCTTCGACACCTTTTACCTAATAGAGTATAAGCTCTTTTTACCTATTTGGCTGAATATTTAAAAAAAGGTCCACTTGAGAGGTCCAAAAACATGTCAAGGAAACAGAAATGTTATGGGCCTCATCAATATTATGATTTATTGAATGGTGAAGTTGTTCACTAAATGTTTACAGAAGAACATATAAATGGAGGTAACAAAGATATATCTATATATTAAATAATATTTAATATATAAATTAGAGTGTCTATGCATAGATATAAGAGAAGTAAAAAGGTGTGCCTATGACTTGAGCTTAAGTGTTAAATTGTGACATGCTCTAAGAATATGTATCTTATATCAATTCTGTCAAATAAGCTCCGGAGGAACACCTGCATTTACATAACTGTTCCTATGTACATTTCTTGGTCTGCCAAATCGATATGTATTTATTATATATGCAAGCAAATACGCAATTGGGTCAATAGAACGCACGCTGAATGCCACGGACACAGCGAATGGCATTGCCAACTAAAGCTGCGAAATATGTCTGGCTAATTTCAAAAGTAAACTTGGATACAACAAAAAGGTGAATATGACTTGAAACGAGGAACGACTGAAAGGCTACCCTAAGCTAAGCAGCCAACTCAGTTTATCAGCTAAATATAAAATATATAAAATAAATATAAAGCAGCTTAGCGTACAGCTGCCTAGTTAAAGCTCTTGTTCATTATATATATATATATAAAATTAACAAATATATATATTTTAAGATATATAAAAGTAAGTCCAAAACCATACTTAAAAGATGGAAGCTAATATTCATATAAAAATACATTTGAATTTGATGAAAAAGAAACTATTTGAGCAGGTGTAATAAGTTTTTATTTTTATTCACCTGCAAAGTATATTTTAGGCTTGTTTTTATATATCTTAAAATATATATATTTGTTAATTATCTCGACAGCATTTATATATTTATATATAAGCTTTTTATGATCAATGCTTTCGATTTCAATTAGGTCAGTGTCACACCTCGCAAGACATAAAAATCATTAATCAGGATATGTCATCCCGACAACGAAAATGCCATATAAAAATTGCTAAAACAATATATATAAATATATATATTACAGGATATACCGAGTGCGACTCACACGCATAGCTGACCACACCCACAACGAAAGTATGCGGGCCAATTTGTTTTTTTTTGGCCACTTGTTGTGGCTAATTGGGCGATGCCAGTCAGCAAATTGAAGCTTATGAATTTTGTATATGTATATATATATATATAGATAGTTATATCTGGGACTGATTTGGCGCGTTAAAGGCCTTTGTAAGCCTGTCAAAAACGCATTATTCGCAAGAGCGAGACGGCAGCAGGGAGTGCAAAAGGGTTGACTGTGCTTGGTAAAAAGAGAAATTTCTATATGATTGGCATTTAGAAATTTCATTTGATTTGACATTTAGCCGGACAATTGATACAGAGTACAAATTTAATTGTTGCTTTTGTTGTTGTTGTTACTGCAGGAACCGGCGAAATCAGGTTTTTCTGATGTTCACTGCAAATTGCAAAATTCAGCGAAAATTACATAACTTTCACTCACGCTAAACGGCGTCAATGAATGAATGCGAAACTGGACCGCAAGTTAAGCGAAAGATGATCGGGGCAGCGGACAGGGGTCGGACATTGGCAAGGTGAGTTATCATCAATGAATGCGCGAAGCGAACCAGGTGTGTGCGAGTAGCAGTGTGTGGCAACTGCTGAGAAATATTTGACATGCCGCAAGCTGCAAGCGAACAGCTCTATGCAAATGAGCGCAGCAGGTGAATCATGGGCAAGCCGTGTGCTGCGCGTGTGTGCAGGGTATATGTGTGGGGTATGCCTAACGCACTTTCTTTTTTGCTGTGGTGCTTGTTATTGTTGCTGTTGTGTGTTGTTGTTGTTTTTGTTCGATTTTAGGCAGCTAAAACAATAACCGAAAATAAAGGCGCGTCACTCATACGCAGCGTGTGACATACCGACGCCCGTAGGCGTCAGCTAAATTCACAGAGCAGAAACGAAAACAACAACAACAACAATAAAAACAGCAACAACTGAAACAACAACAATATACTTACACAGCATTTAGTGTCGCATATCGTTGTAATATAAATGAAAGTGAGTAAATTGAGACTTTTGTTTTTCTCCTTCCTATTTTTTTTTTGTATTTTATTATTATTATTTTGTGGATTTTGCTTTGTGAATAGTTCGGCTTTAATAAGCTGCTGCCTTAATAAAAATAAAAAGTCAAATACAAAATGTGTTATTTCGATTTTTTATTGGCGGCATTCTTTGTCCGCAAACCCTAAAGATCTTATGTAGCTCTACGTCGGAGAAATGTCGGAATGCCACAATGCGTGAGAGCTCAAGAAACGTGACTGAGGCAAGCGAAGACAAAAAGTTGACGATGAATCAGTTGAAAACGTGTTTGAGCACATATCAATTAAATATGCAAAAAGCCAAAGAAATACAGTTTTCGATTTTAACATGCTAATTATTTGTAGGATATGATTTGGGCTCATTAGACATATGGATCAAAAGGGCTCTTAGTAATGGAAGCCATTAAACAGCTTATTGAAATTTATACATTAGATTAGCCTCGGCTTCAAATGCTCTCATGCTTATGAGCAGTGTTGGTAAGCGTTAATAAGTGTAGATGAGTGCATATGGCCGTAGATAAGTGTAGATAAGTGTGAATAAGTGTGGATAAGTTGTATACCTATTGACAGTGTTGCTAAGTGTGAATGAAGAAGGTAATTTTGTGTGGAGTCATTTGAAATGAATGCTGAGATTTTGAGTAAATTAGTAAATTATAATTGATTAATCATAACTTTTCATGATGAGTTTCATCTATCTATCAGCTATCAGCTATTCATTTATAAATATGTATAGCTTAATCTGAAAATCCGTTACAACTAATTACAAATTCCAATAATCAGTTATTGCACAGAGCATTTATTAGCACCTTCACTTGCAGCATTTCTCAATTTTTCATCAAGTCGATGATTATGTTGATCATCGAAGGTGCTAAATAATATTTCGCTATGGCCCAAAGGGCAAACAAGAGCTGACCCATTTATGCAGACGGCTAAATGCCAGGCTCAAAATATGCCGCAACCGGATCAATAAATTAGCACACACACGTGTGTGCCTGTGTGTGTGCGTGTGTGGCGAGTCGAATGAAAGCGGACGCTGCTTGGGAGGGCGTGTATCGATGTGCGCGTTGCCATAATTACCGCTGCCCATGGGCTCAGCCAATGATGCCAATTGTTTGCACTCTGCCGGCCGCTCTCATTCGATCGCTTCTCACTCTTCACTCTGCCCTCCCTCTCTTTCGCTCTCTCTCTCTCTCTCTCTCTCTCTCTCTTCCAAGCCAAGCTCAAGTTTCTCTCGAGCTGCGCTGCAGCTTGTCGCTGTTCGACGTTAACTGTGAGTTTGACGGATGACGACGACGTCGACGCTGCCGAAAAAAGTCAGCGCGCGAGCAGCAACAAGAAGACGAAGAAGAAGAAATGAACATATTCACTTAACAAACAAGTTGACTTTATTTTTCCGTTGTCTTCTTTTTTTCTCACTTTTATTTTTGATGTTGTTGTTTGGCCCGTTTGAGCCCGTTGCTGCTGCTGCTGTTGTTGTTGTTGGAGTTGCCTAGATTTATGCATGTGCTCAGTGCCTTTATTTTCGCGTCACTTTTTTCACATTTTTCGGTTGCTTCCGCAGTCGCCGCTGCTGCGACTGCGCCGCGACTTCATTTTTACTTAATTTACTTAAAAATTGTTTTGTAACGCTAACTTCGACGTCAGCTGCGCAGCTGTCACAAAAGTTGCCCGAATATATAAGGCTAGACGTCTACAGACTTCATCAAATTCATCTCGACCTCAGAAGCAGCAGCAGCAGCAGCAGCAGCTTCCAGTCAACAGCCAAGGATTAAAACGCGTCGCGTGTCAGTAAAGTTCTAAGACAAAAACTAAACGAAAATGAAAGTGTTTTCCGTTGCCTGTGTCTGCCTCGTCTTGGTGGCCAGCTGCGCCTGGGCCGCACCCAGTGTGCAAGATAACCGTGTCGAAAGTGATAACACGCTCGGACGTGCCGCCCGCTATTTGGGCGCCTGCCTCGAGAGCGATGACTTGACCACCTGTCTGGCCGTCAAGGGCATTACCGCATTGAATCGCGCCGCCAGGAGCAACAACATTGAGCTAATCAATGGCGTCACCTTCCAGAGGTGTGTGTGTGAAAGTGAAATGTTGTAACTCGAGTGAAATTGAATTGTGCCTTGCCTCGAATCTGTGTTCTAAGTTGTGTTTTCTTCATGCCCGTTGCAGAGATCCCGCCAGCCCCGTGCAGCGCAGCGGCAAGTCGCTCAGCGAGCAGGACATCTATGCTGAGCTGCCACAGAACGGCGACGAGCGCAATGGCCGCCTGGTTGATCTGGCCATATCCAGCGCCACCGACTTCCTGAGCACCCACAACTTGGAATTCAAGCTGCCCGCGGAGACCACACAGCAGGTGGCACGCTCTCTGGACGAAGGTACAGCATACAAACATATTAATAATAAGAAAGCTCGGCTCTACTCTCTTTGTGCGCTCCGCTCCATTTACAGGTCGCGCCAAGATCAAGAAGATGATTGGCCCCATTGCTCTGGCCATTGGCGCTAAGCTGTTCGCTGTCATTCCTTTGGTGCTCGGCTTCCTGGCTCTGTTGACCTTCAAGGCCGTCATCGTGGCCAAGATTGCCTTCTTCTTGGCTATTCTGGTTGGCGGCTCTCGTCTGTTGAGCGGCTTTGGCAACAAGTTCGGCGGCAACGCAATTGGCGGCTACAGCTCGAATGCCTGGTCTGCGCCAGCCAGCGCTGGCTGGAGCTCGGGCGCCTCCTCCGCCTATCCCTATGCACGCAGCATCACCGCCGATGATGCCCAGGAGTTGGCCTACGCCGGCCAGCAGCAGCAGCAGCAGCAGCAGTAAGCGGACTTCGTTTCACTTGGCCAATAGCCAGAAATGTGCCTTTTCTTCTAATTGAAAATTTAGCTTGTAGTAATTTATTCGAGACGTGAAGCTGACGCGTATTTAATTGCCTAATTTATTATTGTATAACAAAACATTGCAAAAAGAAAAAAGAAACAAACACTTTACATTGTACAACACATCAGCTAAAGAGTCATGTTAATAAAATCGATAAATACTTTAAACTTGGCCTTAACTTTGAGAGCAGCTGACCCTTTTTAGCTGTGGCCAAAACTGTGGCAGCACTTTCCCAGGCATTCACAACTGGTTGCTAACTATTTATATATATTTTATATATACACTCGACATTTGGGCAACTTGTTTTGTGGCTATTAAAACAAAAGTTTTTCGCTGGTTCTTGAGCGGCGACACGGAGCTGGTCTCATGCCCAATTGATATACATATATACACATACACACGCATATAGATGTGTCTGTGTATGTGCATGTGCGTAGTATAGTTTGGTTATTTTTGGCATTGGCCACGCCTCATAATTGAAATATTTCCATGTTGGCCTGGGCACATTAATTGCTGTCAACTTTCTACATAGCTGATGCGATCGGTTGTACGAACAAATGCGAGCATGTGCGACAATTTAGCTTTCTTTTGCGTTGCGCAGATTTGTCAAAGATTTAGAAGCAATTGAAATAGAAAACGAGACTTGACTCGAAGAGAATGAAATCGAAAGCGCCGAAAGCGTCCGCTTGCAGTCTCTAAGTGGGCCAAAACGCGCATTAACCGAGCAGCTGGCGGGGCATACCAAATATGGCCAAGTACGCTGGCGACTAATAATAATCGCTTTTAATGCTATTCAATGGGCCGAGAGCTAATGAGAGCTCCAAAGAATCTGGCACATAAGCAAATGGAGTCACGTTCCTTGCCGGCCCGGGGCGTGGCTGTTGCATGCCAATTACGATCGGCTAACGGTGAGACGACGCCCTATTGCCCCCCCACCATGCTGCACGCCCCACCTCCCTCACGCATAACTGTCAAAAGGAAATCGGGGCATTTGCTTATATAAAATAATAATATTCAAGCCGTTCGACGACTTCCCTTTCGTTTGGACGTGGGACGTGCGTGAAAATATGGTCAAGAAATTTTTTGGTGGCTGCCCAATTGGCCATTGGCTTCGACTCTGCCTCATCGTACTAGCATACGCATAAAATTTGCATAAATTGTTGCTGTCTGTTGTGTTTGTTGTGCTTTGGGTTTTGGCCCGCCGATTTCTAGCCACCAAATTGGACAGTGTGCGCCGCGTTGCGCTGTGCCCGGCGAGCTTCGAAGGCACGCGCTCGAATTGAAAAGGTATAAAACTGCGGCCCATTGCATTCAATTAATCACAAAGCAACTCCCAATCACAAAGCCAACAGCAGTGTGTGCTCTGAACGCAGTGCCAAAGCCAAGGACTATCACAAATATAAAAATAATAAAACCCTCACGGCTCCTCTCCCCGTCCCAAGAACTCAACTCAACCACTAAAATGTGCGCGAAATTCGTTTGTGTTGTGCTCGTGGCCAGCTTTGTGTGCGGCGCTCTGGCTCTGCCCTCGCAGGACAGCAGCGAAAAGGACTTAGTGAATATGCTCAATAAACTGGATAATGAGGATTCGGTTCCATTGTTTGGCGGCCTACGCATCGATCGCACCGAAACCGGTCGCAGCTTTGGCTCCGCCAAGGGTCTCGAATCGTTTGAGGATCGTGCCGAACGCTATCTGGAAACGCATGAGCTGAATCTCTCGTTCTCTGGCGATGAGCAGGATGAGAATGCCGAGAATGTTTACAGCGGACGCGCCATGGATGGTGAGTGGCCTCAAGCGGTTGCACCACTGTGTACCCGTTGCACGACTCGGTCATAAAATTGCCCCTCAACTTTCACAGTATATTTTGCAACTGTTTGCAACTCTGTTGCCGGTGCAATTGACAGGCAATTTGTTGCAAGCACTTGCCTTCGGGCTTTAGCCAGGCTGCCAGACTGCCTGGTCGTAAATTGCGCATACGCCGCGTGCACACAAGTATTTGCTGATTTATTGTTCGACTCGTGTTGCATGCTTTGCGGCAACAGCATAAGCTGCCAATTTACTCGTCTCACTTTGCATACTTTTGTGCTAAACAAGAAATGGCTTTCGATTTCTCTCCACTTTTACAGAGTCGCGCAGCAAGCGCATGAAGAAGATGCTGCTGCCTCTGTTGTTGATCTTGAAACTGAAGAAGGCGGTCGTTGTCAAGGTCATGTTCACCATCATCAAGTTCATCTCGCTGAAGGCTCTGGCCATCTCCTTCCTTGCCCTCATTCTGGCTGGTAAGTGTCCAAAGGCAGACATTGAAAAGTGAGCACTTTTATTTATAAATCGCTGTGTGCAGGTGCCACCTTCTTCAAGGATTTGTTGGCCAAGAAGAAGGACCACATCACCACTGCCTACATCACTGGCAGCCCATTGAACGCCGAGATCGTGCACTCCGACTGGAACCGCAACGGCCAGGCCAGCGCCGCCGACTTGGCATACAACCATTACGGTCTGGCCCAGCCCTTCTAAGAATTTCTACCCATCCCAGTCAACCAAATCATCCAAGAACTTTCCATTCTAAACTACCCCCACTTTATCTGCTATCCATTCCACACTCGCTGTCCCTTCCCCTATCTTCCCTCTAAAGACTTAAACCTCCCACATGGCTAAACTTGTTGTAGTGTTGTAGTCAATAATTATTTAGTTTAACTTAGTTAGTTAGCTGCGACATACCAAAAACCAAAAAAACAAAAAAAAGTAGAAATGAAACGAAGAGAAAACTTCAAGAAAGGAGATAAATCAACGATGAGAACCGAATATCAACTACGACTTGGCTAGCTCAGGATAACGCACACGGACTACATATACTAAATGCTTGCGCCATATTTATTGCACAATCACACATGCTCTACAAGCAGACATGCAGCTCAGGTTCACAAAGCAAAACAAAAAGTAAAAAGAAAAAAAAACAAAAAACAAAAAGAAAACGAAATGTAAGCAAGAAATACTTAAATGTCTGCTAAAGAGCTTACTTACTAAGTATTTATTTTAATAATTTATAGCAATTGAATAAAAATGATTCATGAAATGCAAACTTATTGCTCTTTAATCAATATCGGGTCATCAATTAAGCATAAAACATGCTAAGCTAAAGATAATTTATTGAAGTTTTATTCTTTTATTAGAGTTAAAATTAACAGACAACAAACATTTACGAGACAGGTTTTAATAGTACAAATGCATAGCAAGGGTAATATAATTTTTTTATAAATGTTTCTTGATATTCTAATTATTATCATTGCTCAGCTGCACTCTAGATGTATTTACAATTGCTTTAACTGCGAGAGGTGGAACTGACCTGGCAGAAACTGTCGCTGAAGTTAGTGGAAAATCTATAGAGACTATAGTAGATAATAATTTAAAGCAAACTTGCAACAGCAAAGATTGTTGGAATAGAGTGGAATCCGCTCAGCTTGAGCACATACGAGGGATCAACCTTGAAGGTCAATGAGGGATAACATCGGGTTTCATGCTGGGCGGCAGCCTATGAAAAAGAAAGTTTTTTAGTCGATAAGCAGAAAAGCAGTTTAGTGTGACGTCCTAAATGACGGTGCTTTATGTATAAAGTAATAAAAGTATACATCGCAGATGGGATGCTTGGGATACTCGCATTGATATCACAGTTCTAGTCCATTTCGTGACATCAATAACTCAAGAAAAAGAAATATTATTGTTTTTAGTTATTATATTGTTTTCGTTATTATTTTTAATTTAATCATTAATTTTTTATTTTTCTTTTTAGTAATTTTACTATTTTTATTATCTTTATTATTTTTATTATTTATTTATTATTATTTTTTTTTAACTTTTTTATTATTAACACTATTATCGATCTCATATGTTTTTGCATTAGCATTAACATTTTCAATATCATCATAATTTTTATTAATTTTAGTTTAATATAACTATGCAAAGAGTAACACTTTCCGGGTACTCCAGCTTAAGCAGCAGAAATCTCTGCCCGTCTCAGTAACTCAATGTGTTTAAGCTGCTCTGGCAAAAGTTGCTTCGATGAGTCAACCACTTAGCCAGCACAGCTTCCAGACGTAGCCGAATTAAAATGTTATTAGCAACAATACAGGGCAATTAGTTAGTTTAGTTGTCTGTTGCTAGCTATTAATTAATTAATATACTTCGGGCGAGGCACGCGACTTTTATCTGGCCCATAATTATGCAGGTATTTGTGAATTTTCTTTTTGTCTCAGGAAATTCATTAAGATGGGACCCAGCGGAGCAGTTGGTGACAAATTTTAGCCTCACGTTGCGCTACACTGAGCGCCGGCACAGAGAGGAGGAAAGCGAAAGTGCCGCCCAGTGGCCAAGTTGGTTCGCTGGTTGGACGCAGTTGAACGGCTCTGGGAAGAATTTCGACCACAAATCGTGTGGTAATTAGAAAAGGTCCAAAGACGGCGGCCAACCTAAACCTAAACTCGGCAATGACTTTTCTTGGCGCTCTCTGCGTAGTGAAAGGGAAATGGCTATAAAAACCAAAGCCATAAAAATGAGCTGCTGCAGTCACTCAAGAGCTCCACAAATCACTAGACAGCTTTTCTTACATACTAATTTTGGCAACACCACAAAATAAAATCAGTATGCTCTTGCTCAAGACCTTGGAGTATTTGTTTTACCTGGCCTGGTTTTGCTTCCTCTGCAAATATGCAGAGGCCGCCAGCATACAGCCCACAGAGCCGAGTCCAAATCACTTGGAGCCAATGCAGCCAACCCAACGGAATCCTACAATGGCCCTCAACGAGTGCGAGACAGCAGCCTTCAGCTGGATGTGCCTGAAAATAGAATTTGTTAAGATTATGGAGCGTCTAGCCGAACAGCAGGAGCTCAAAGTGTTGCCGGGCGTGAGCGTAGTCAAGGATGAGAATGCCACTGAGCTAAAAACATCCGAACTGATGGCAGGTAAATGAAGCTCATTTATCTAAAATCAAGTTGAATACTTACAATTGGCTCAAACTCTTTCAGAGGTGGCACGCAGCTATCCCAGCGATCCCAATACGCGTCTCAACGGCTATATTCTGGCCAAGTTAGAGAACATCTTGAAGACGCGCGTCCTGCGCCTTCGCCTGCTGGATGACACCAGCCTGGAGGAGGGACGCAAACATAAGTTTGGCAAGAAGGGCGGCATGGAGGCACTCGTCGCCGCTGGCGTCATGATGAAGGGCATGCTGATGGCCCTGGGTCTCGGAGCTATTGCCATGATGGCCGGCAAAGCGCTGATGACCGCGCTCATGGCGCTCACGCTCAGCGGCGTGCTAGGCCTGAAGAGCTTGGCCGGCGGCGGTGGCAAGTCCACAACATACGAGATTGTGGCCAAGCCCGTGTACACTTCCAGCCACTCGCATTCGGTTAGCCACGAGGACGGCCATGGGCACAGCGCCCACTTTGCAGCCGGAGCCGGCGGAGGCAGCGGCAGCGGCTACGGCTATGGGGGATATGCGCGTGCTCTGCACCTGCAGCCGCCCAGTCAGCTGCAAATGTTGTAAAAACATGCACACGTCACACATACTACATTTACTATTTATTATATTTATTTAATTATTTATTGAAAATCAATTTGAAATGCATGAATAATATCAAATGAGCAACATGCATACGAATACCCTTACCCACAAACAACAATTGTGCAATTTACTCCTGACCTCGATGTATAAACATCATATATAAATGTACTTTAAGCACAATTGCCCATAGGGGAGCCTTGGTCAGTGAGCAGCGTCATAAAACAAATATGGAAAAATGTTTGGCAATCTGAGTTGAAGAGCCCATGAAGTTAAATTGATTTAAGCTGATGAAATGAAATGAAGCTGAGCTGAGTGAAAAAAGTTTTCGTTTTATGTGAATCGATATATTTATAATGTAAAATAATATTTATCTTCTTCTTGTACCTGTAAATTGATTGACTGACGAGCAGACAAAGATAATAATTTTTAAAATTTAAATTAATATTTATAGCATTTTTCCTCGCATTTTATAGTGAATGAATTCCGATGTGAATTAAGTTTAACAGCAACTAAATATTATTTATTATTTCTTCAAGACTTTCTAGTAAGACTTTCCCAAGAGCACATTCACTCTATAATTCCTGAAATTGTTCTACAACTTTGACTCGGTCACATATCATCCGATCTATGAGTATTTACTTATTTATTTAACAGACATATAATGTCCAGCATTTTCTATCTTCCATGCTTCAAGTCTGCTATTAGGGTATAGAGTTCTCGTCTCGGTGTCGCAACGAATTTTTACTGATTATGCGATTCGATTCAAATGGCATCAAACTTTATTAGTTTACAGCAAAGTTTCAAGACGAACGTTGATAAATGTTTAAGTTACTGTTCCTTTTGTATCTCGTCTACCTGTTCGTCTTAACGTGCGATACCATCGGCCTCAATGAAGGTATATCCACATCCAAGTGCTCAATTGTTTTCAATGACCACGACTTGTCTCTACAATTCACAGCTTGCGATGAACTTGGTAAATGCAAGAGAGCCTGTGCAGTGCAATTGGTGGTCCAGGATCCCTGTGAACTTGGCTTGATATGTTGCTTATCCCCGTCCCCACCTTAGTTGATATATTTATATTTCTATTTGCATATATAAGATAAATGTGAAATGCATTCAAATTAAATTTAATTGTGGTCTTTACTTACTTTCGTATTCGATTGTAATATATATTTCTATCGCATATTTTCAGCAATATTATTATTATTATATATATTATAATATATATAATTACTATATATAATATAATTCTTTATATAAATCACTTATTTAACTTTTAACATAGCGTGAAAAACTGATTAGCTTCATTTCGATATGTCAATTAGCAAATTGAAAGCGGTCAATAGACCAAAGAACAAAGTTTTGCCCGTGTGATTTGTAAATTAGCGAATTTGAAATTGTTTTAGTTTCACTTCTAACCCAATTTGAAATCCGATTAATTTTTGTCATAAAAGGGCAGAGACAGATGCAGCTAACCATCAGTTCTTTCATAGCAGAGTACAATGAAGAATCCGTGTAGTGGTAACAAATACAATAACTCCTTGACTGCTTTAAGTATGAAAATAACTACCATTTTCTCTCAGTGATATTCCTGGTGCTTTACACGGCATGGATGTGTTCAGCAATTCAGAGTGGTGTGCCGACAGCAAGTGAAGTAAATGTCAACAGCACGGATAATCTCGATGACTTGGAATTGGATCTATTGTCGGAGGATGATGACGAATCAGATGAATCGCGTTTGACTGTCGATGATGTAGTGGAAGAACTGACAAGGCAACTGGACACAGACAATGAGATCGAACCGGTGATTCGTCCCACAAAGAAACGTCAACAGGCGCACATCAGAAGTTCTGCTTCACATTCTCATCACAACCATCCAATGTCGGACCCTATGCCATATTATCCAGCACCAGCTCCCATGCCATATGCTATGCCATATTCGCAGTGTCCCTACAACCAGCCTTTATACTATCCCCAGCCTATGTATCCGCCCTATCCATATCCACCTTACAGTCCCATTCAATTCGCCGAGCAGCAGAGTCCACCCAAAATCGTGAAGGCAGTAGATCCCACGGACACCACTGAAGTAGTCAACGTCGAACAGCTGCTTAAGATTGCCAACTTCTGGAATAAATTTAATGCCACAGCATTCGTTCCACAAAATTCGACCAAGAAGGGCGGAAAGCGTTTTGCCCTCAGGAACTGGATTAGAAACAAGTTGAACAAATTTACAACTCCAGCTCCAATTGCTGGTTAAGCTCCAATCGGATAGGTCCACAAGGTCCATGCAAGAAAACCTTTTTTTAATAGATATATCCATAAAATGAATATTTGTTTATTGTTGATATGGATAGATATATCATGTTTTTACTAATTTATTTATTTATTTATTTATTTATGATGCGATCAAAATAAAGAAAATCAAGCTTTCAATATGAATCCTTTTATTATTTGAAAGTAGAGAAATAACAAGTAAGAATGCTCTAGTCCGGGTGCCCAACTCGAAGATACCCCGATTCTATTAATACTTTCCATAGCTTGTATCGAGCCTTAAAAAAGATAATAACCGACATTAGGGCACCAAGATTTGAAACAACAACTCTGCCAATTAAATAAATAATTCTTGAAGGGCATTAAATATAGATACAAGTATATATTATTTATAGATATAGTAAATTTGGGAACAAATATTAATTGCTTTACATTTCTTCAATTTTGTATTTATTCTATTTTATTTTCTGACTTTTTACTATATTATTTTTATCTATTTTAGAAATTTTTTTGTTTTTAAAGAGAGAAATTGTCATAAATATTTATTTTGTAATACATAAATTGATTATTTAGCAAACATTTGTCACTGGTATTGTTATTTAATATATTAAATATATTTAATAAATAAAATATATTTAAATATATAATACATATATATGTATATATGTATGTATATCAAAAATACAATGTTATAAGAATTAAAATTAAGAGAACAAATACTCTGCCTGTGACAAACTCTAACCACACTTTACAAATAACTTAACTATCATATATATTACAAGGAGGTAAATAAAATAAAATGCTCTTAAGTAATATTTATTTTATTAAATATATAATGAGTAACCTTAGTAATTAACAATTTTAAGGAGAACAAAGCAGCATGGACATTTGAATTGTGACCCAATTAGCATTACGAAATCATGAAAAAATGCTAATGATCATTATCGTTAATGATCATTACCTGTAATATTCATTAACATAAATGATCATTATTCCGAATGATCATTATCGCTAATTAACACTACGTCGTCGTGTTCTTTATTATAATAACAATCAGTGCTTATTAATAACAATTGAAAGTTACTAAAATACTAAACATTATATATTTCATTACATTTAAACAATTAAATATTAAATATTTATTAAACACATAGACAATGAACAAAAACAAAAAAACTTAAATATATATTTAAATACAATATTTAATAAATAAATACAAATTATTTAAACTTAAACATATTAACAAAAAAACTTAAATTTATTCACCATTTGCACTGAACCGCACTGCGACTGACCTAGTCCAGGTCACGAACTTGACTGATCGGCCACAGCCGCTGCTGCGCCCTTTTATACCCAAAAGTCACTCAAAAAGCAACTCCAGCAGAGCTCTTGAGCCCCTTTTGAGTGAGAATTTGCGCTTAGTTTGATCTAAGTTGGAAGCAGACATAAAAGCGAACAGACTGCGCTACTATATACACTCAACTTGTCATACTGCTCGGGAATATATATGTTGTAGATATATACTTCTTGTATATGTGAATCAGATGTGTTTTTTCGCTCTGCATTTGAGCGAATTTATTATTTTTTTACTCATTTATCATGTAAAAGACAGACAACTATATACAACTATATAAACAGCTACTGATGGGGTCTGACATGATTCCTTCTGCCTGTTACATATAACAAAACATTTTACATTTAATAAAACCGTTATGCCCTGATTTTCCATTTTCAATGGTTTAAAGTACTATAGAAATATAACTTAAGTTAAATTGTGCTTTGCGGTATTTATATTTATATTATTATGTAGTCATTTAACACGTATTTATTTTAAATCCATTATTTTTTAATTTATGTTTTAGTTTTGACAGAAATTGGCGGTTTTATTTTTAATTCTCTTCTACAGAAAGTGGTCATATTTTGCTTGATTCGTTCATTTCGTCTTTGTATTGTGCAGTGCAGCACTACTTTTTTATGAGCACAGCAGCATGTTCATCAAACTGTCATTGTTATTAATAAATTATCAATTAATTGATGCCAATATTTCAAAAGGCACATCTGCAAAACTATATCAAGTCAAACTTTCATGTGAAATTCCTACAAAAGTTCATATATACAACAGCAAGAGCGACCTTTTCTTTAATTAATTTTGATATTAACGATCTATTAACACATCTTATAATAATAAATCTGAAGACATACAGCTAGAAGAACTGCAGCATAGTTTTAGGCTGTCATAAAATGCGCTCTCTCTCTCTTTATGGCCATTGTTTCTAAGCCCATTTCGCTGGCACCCAATGTTGGCCACATCTGGCGGTTGGAACCTGGTTCGATGCGGCTGGCTTCGGATTTCAGTTGGTGCTCAACAGTTTGTCGACAAACAACGCCTCGACGCGTGGTGCATGTGAGACAATAACAACAAAAACGAGATAAAACCAAAAAGGCAAACCCAAAAACCCGACAACAACTGTAAAAGTGAAAGACGTCGGCGCGAGTAATTTGACAAGATTAATTCTTAATATGAAATTCGTAAAAATTGTTGCTATTTGCTGTACAAACAAGCGAAAGTATCTACAACAACAACAATAGCAAGAGCAACAGTCGCTGCTAATTAGACGTCACGCAAGAGCAGAATATGCGTTAATTGATCATGGTGCGTGGCTATATATATAGATGTGTGCGTGTGTGTGTGTGTGAGGTTAATCAAAATA